ATTGCTTGGTAACATTACTGTTCTTTTTGGATTTAAAGTTGAAGTTTATTTGCCATATAGTATTTGAACTTTTTATATAGGTCTTCTTTAAGAAAAGCATTCTCAGGTTACCTGGGTGGCTCAGTCAGTTGGGCATCCGACTCTTGATTTTGGCTCAGGACATGATCCCAGGGTTGTGAGATTGAGCCCTGTGTCAGGCTCTGCACTAAGCACGGAGCCTGCTTAAGATTCTCTCTCGCTCGTTCTCTTTCTCTCTCTTCCTACCCCCTCTCCTGCTCATGCTCTCTCTAAAACATACACACGTACATACATACGTAAGTAAAAATAAAATAAAGAAAAGCATTTCTCTCCCTTCCTCTGCCAGAAAAAGAAGGGAAGAAATTATTCCTACTACTAAATAGTAGGCAAAATATATAACAGATAATTTTCAAAAGAAAATATAGCCAGTAAAATTTCCCAAAGTTTACCTTTTCATTAAAAAGGAAATTAGGGGGGCGCCTGGGTGGCTCAGTTGGTTGGGCGGCCGACTTCGGCTCAGGTCATGATCTCGCGGTCCGTGAGTTCGAGCCCCGTGTCGGGCTCTGTGCTGACAGCTCAGAGCCTGGAGCCTGTTTTGGATTCTGTGTCTCCCTCTCTCTGACCCTCCCCCGTTCATGCTCTGTCTCTCTCTGTCTCAAAAATAAATAAACGTTAAAAAAAAAAAAAAAGAAATTAGGGGTGCCTGGGTGGCTCATTCAGTTAAGCATCTGATTATTGATACTGGCTCAGGGTGTGACTTTGCAGTTGTAAGATCAAGCTCTGCATTGAGCTTTGCACTGACATCTCACAGCCTGCTTGGAATTCTCTCTTTCCCATTCTCTCTGCCCCTCCTCCACTCCCTCCCTTTCTCTCTCTCTCTCTCTCTCTCCCTCTCTCTCTCTCTCTCTCAAATAAATAAACATTTAATTTAAAAAAAGAAAAGGAAATTATATCACAAAGGGTTATATTTTTCCTTTTTAAAATTAGCAAATTTAAAATGAGAATAATTAGAAATGGCAAGGATTGGATGAGGTAATCAATATTATACCCATTTAGTGGGAATATAAAGAGCTTTTTGAAGAATAATTTGGCTCATATATATTTAAAACATTCATACTTTCAACTTAGTATTCTATTTGTATGACTTTTTCCAAAGAAGGAAATCCAAAATACAATTAGAGTTTTATATCCAAAGATGTTCTTTTGAGCCCCTTTCTGAAAACATGAAATTAGAAATAGTCAACACATACACAAACAGTGAAAGTATGGTAAATCTCTATGGTGAAATATAATATTGCACTTGCCCTTGACACAAAAAGAAAGATGGACATGCAACACTGCTATGATAAGTTCTTGAAAAGTAAACTTGAATCTTATCAAGCTTCTAACCCAAACAACCAGTTTACAGGGAACACTGGGAACAGAGGAACATGATAAATGTCACCAGTGTGGATACAATCAACAAAATCCAAAACCTGGGTAAGTCTACAAGACAAGTTACATAGTTTCTTCAACAAATAAGTATAAGAAAAAAAGAGTAGGGGGAACCCACAGGTAAAAGAAATATCAGCCGATTTGTTGAGTGGGGTAGTGATGAGGGGCTGTAGAAGAAGCAAGGTTGGCCATGTATTGGTTTTTTTTTTTTTTTTTAATTTTTTGTAATGTATTGATAATTGTTGAACCACGTTGTGGGTACATGAGGGCTTCATTTTCCAATTCTCTCTACTTTTATGCAAAACAGTGAACTTGAACATAAGAAATTTTTGGATTATTTTAAATGGAAAAGAACATGACATATAGGTGAATTTCAGCTATGGTTTTAAATGCAGAGAAAAAAAAGAATACAAAAAAAATATATGAAATACTATCAGTGGCTGCTTTTAGGTAGTGAGATTATACATGACTTTTCTCTTTATAATAAAGTTTTACTATGTGTAAATTTACGTGCTTGACAAATTTTTTTTTTCAATATGCACTTTTTTATTCTGTTTATTTTGGTGAATGGTTTAAAGGTCAAATGGTATAAGAAGAAAACAGTGAAAGGAGGCCCATGCTTCATTGCTCAGCTTAGTCACTTAGTTACTCTCAGAAGTAACCAGTTATTTATTTCTTGCATATCCATCTGGAAGATGCTATAAGTATTCTTTATTTAAAAATGCAGATTGTAACACTATTACTATTCTGTTGTTTCCACTTAATGATGTACCTTGGAGACTGAGCCACATTTATATAGCAGAGTGCTTCCTTATGCTTGCACAATATCGTAACTAATGCCTTTGGATAGATCTACAGGATTGCTTTGCTGCTAGAAGCAATACTGAAATGATTAACGCTGAATGAAAGTCCTTTCCCACATATACAAGTTTATTTACAGGAAAATTCCTGGTGGTGGAATTGGTGGGTCAGATTATATGTATATTTGTAGTTTTGATCATTTGTCACATTGCTGCCTGTAGAGTGTGTAGGCACCATATAGTAAACACTGTTCGCCTTGCTCTTAAGTGTGATTGAGGATGTTTTCAGTTGTTTAAGAGCAGTTTTCACTTCCTCTTTTATGAACAGTCTGTTCATAGACTTTGCCGCTTTTCCAACTGAGTTGGATACTTTTATAATAGTTTGTAGGAGTACTTTAGCATTTTGGAACTAATCCTTTTGTCTGTAATATAAATTACCAATATATCCCCCCAATATATTTGTCTTTTAATTTTGAAAATGCTTGGGTTTTTGTTAAAATTTAAAAAAAGAATTAAGTTCATTTTAAGACGAGGGGAGGGGCAGAGAGAGAGAGAATCCCCAGCAGGCTCTGTGCTGACAGCACAGAGCCCAACACAGAGCTTGATCTCATAAACCATGAGATCATGGCCTGAGCTGAAATCAAGAGTCAGATGCTTAACCAACTGAGCCACCCAGGCGCCCCTCTCTCTACACAGTTTTTTAAAAAAATTGTTGTCAAATTGATCTATCTTTTCTTCTAGATTTTGTGTACTTATGTTTTCCTTGAGGTCATTTTAAAAATTATTCCTGGGCCGCCTGGGTGGCTCAGTCGGTTGAGTGTCCGACTTCAGCTCAGGTCATGATCTCACAGTTTGTGGGTTCAAGCCCCACATTGGGCTCTGTGCTGACAGTACAGAGCCTGGAGCCTGCTTCAGATTCTGTGTCTTCCTCTCTTTCTGTCCCTCCCCCAGTCATTCTCTCTCTCTATCTCAAAAATAAATAAACATTAAAAAAGTTTTTTTAATTATTCCTGATATTTTACACTTAAATCTTTGATGTATCTGAAATATATCCTACTTTTCAGTATGAGGCCCAGGTTCAACTTAATTTGGTTTCCAAGTGGCTACCCAGATGTCCCACAGCATTTATCAATTCAGTTTTTACCCACTACTTAAAAACATCATCTTTGTCATATTCTAAATATCCATATTTGTGTGGTGTGTGTGTTTCTGGCTTTTCCTTTCTGGTTCATGGACTTATCTATTCATTTTCTAGTACTGTAGTTTTAATTATTATAGCTTTATAATGTATATTAAATCCTCTAAGGCTAGTCATTCCTCATTCTTAGAATTTTCCTGGTTCTTTTGGTTCTTTATTTTTCTTTTTTTTTATTTATTTATTTATTTTTTTTTTTAATTTTTTTTTTTCAACGTTTATTTATTTTTGGGACAGAGAGAGACAGAGCATGAACGGGGGAGGGGCAGAGAGAGAGGGAGACACAGAATCGGAAACAGGCTCCAGGCTCTGAGCCATCAGCCCAGAGCCCGACGCGGGGCTCGAACTCACGGACCGCGAGATCGTGACCTGGCTGAAGTCGGACGCTTAACCGACTGCGCCACCCAGGCGCCCCGGTTCTTTATTTTTCAATATTAACTCTAAAAATTAGCTTGTCTGGTTCAATGGAAAATTATTTTGATATTTCTATCAGTATGGTACTAAATTTAAAGATTAATTTTAGGGAGAATTGATTTTTGATACTGTCAACACATGTTCTCATCCATGATCATGGTACGCCCTTCTATGTGTTGGATTCTTTTGTTTTCCTTGGTACCATATACATGTTTTCTTTATTTAGATATTGCTACGTTTTTGTAAAGTTTATTTCTAGATTTTCCTTTCTTGACTTTACAAATACTGTCTTCCATTATATTTTCTGATTATTGTTTGTACATATGAAGACTAGTATGATATATATTCATTTTGTTCCACTTTTTTAATTCCCTTAATGTTTGTAGTAGTTTTTACTATAGTAGTTGATAATCTTGGATTTTCCAGAAAGTAATGATTATATAGATATAATCATACCATCTGCAGATACCCTTTTCTTTCTAATACCACTATTTTTCCCTCTATGTTGATACAGTGTTTTTAATCAGAAAAATCATTTAAAAATATGAATTTTCAAGTTGTACCTGCCCCTGATATTTAGCCCTGAATATTGGCCTCTTAGTAAGTATAATCAGGCTTCTTGAAGCTGTACATATTCTGAATACCTTAGTAAGCCTTTGAAGATATTTAATGTGACTTAAAAAAAAAAAAAATCAGTGTCTAAAAAATGAGATACTTGGATTGAAAATAAATGTTTTTATTAATATTTATTTTTAAAAATTTTTGTTTACATTTTAATTAGTTAACATACAGTGCAATATTGGCTTAAGGAGTAGAATTCAATGATTCATCACTTACATACAATACCCAGGGCTCATCACAAGTGTCGTCCTTAGTACCCATCTAGCACATCTCCCACCACCTCCCTCCATCAACCCTCAGTTTGTTCTCTGTCGTTAAGAGTCTCTTGTGGTTTGTTTCCCTGTCTCTTTTTTCCCCCTTCCCATTTGTTCATCTGTTTTGTTTCTTAAATTCCACATGAGTGAAATCATATGGTATATGTCTTTCTCTTATTTCGCTTAGCGTAATACACATTTGATTATTGATATTCAAATATAATATTCAAATACTGACAAATCATTTTACTGCTTTTTCCTCAGGACCAAATGGCTATTGCATGTGGATCTCGAGCTCACTTGGAAAAAGAATCAATTGCTCAGGTGAGGCTTTACTAACTGGCCTGGATCAGATTTTGTTTTTCTTTTTTTCATACTCATTAGCAAAAAGCAAGCTTTCATGTTTAATTTCATAAAAATGTATTTCTTTTCAAAGGGAAAGAAAATAATTTTTTACTGTGTGAAAGATTAACACATTTAGGAATTTATTATTTTTTTCAGTGAGTTTACAAAAAAGGATGTAAACTTCACTTTGACTTAGGATGCAAGCAGCTTATTTATTTTTTTTTCTTTTTAAGACACAGGAGTCCCCATTCAGTTCTGATATAAGGCAAACTTTTCTAAATGATACAGTTCTGAACCATTCAGCTTACCTTTAGTTTTTCTTTTAATGGCACATTGAAGTACATTTAAAGTTTGTTTTTTTCCTTTTTTTTTTTTTTTAACTTTATTCCTCTTAGAAAAGCACTATATCTTAAAGTTTAACAAGTTGTGACTGCCCTCACTAAAGACCTTAAATTCTTCATTTTGTAATTTGTATTATTGGGCTACAAAAGTTGGAGTAACTTGAGAGGAAAAAATAATAAGGAATTTATTCTGTGCAATTTTAAATTCTTTTTTAATTTTTAAAATTATTTTTATTATTCACTTAAAAATGTGGGCCCAGTGTATCAAGCCCAGTAATTGTCCATTATATTCTTTATGGTTCATCTACTGGAGTCGCCAAATAGATCAAGAATAAAGCAGTATTTTTCAATCCAAGGTCAAAATTATCTGGGGAGGTTTTTTTCTTTGGTTTTAAACATGTGTATTTCTAGGCCAATCCCAGGCACACTGAATAAGACTATAGAAATGAACCAGGAATCTGCATTTTTAACAATTTCCCAGGCCACGCTTACACCCAGAGTTTGAGAACCAGTGGAATAAAAGGTTAAACCTTTCCCTCCCTCAGCGATTCTGAAATAAGACACAAAGAAATTTTTTTTTTCAAGATATACTGATGGCAGGGTCATAGAACCTCTTAAGAATTATGTTCAGGTATGGAAACCTAGACTCTTCCTAAGAAAGAAATTATTTTAATACCTTCAGCATCTAATCCAGTGTTCCATGTCTCTGTGGACACTCACTGGTTTTAAAAAAGGTAATCTGTTAACCATCAAGGTTATCATACTCCTAGAAATTTAAAATTGAAAGATTGCTTAGAGATTAGCTAGTCCAGCTTCATCAATTTACTGATGCACAGGGGATAAGAAGAGGAAGAGTATATGTCTAAGATGTTTACATTATTTATAATTTTATACTTATATAAATTTTATAATTTTATAATTATAAAATAATAGAAACTATAGGGGTGCCTGGGTGGTTCAGTTGGTTGAGCATTTGATTCTTGATCTTCACTCAGGACATGATTCCAAGGTTGTGGGATCGAGTCCCATCTCGGGTTCCATGCTGAGTGTAGAACCTGCTTAGGATTCTCTCTCTCTCTCTCTCTCTCTCTCTCTCTCTCTCTCTGTCTCTCTCTTTCTCCCTCTGCCCTTCTCCACCTCTTTCTCTCTTTCCCTAAAATAGAAAAAATAAAAAATAAAACCTAATACTTGATATCTAAAAACAAAAAAGAAATGATAAAATGCTAAATTCCAACAATAGAAAATACAGATATTTTCCTGGATGAAATATGCAGCCAATAAAACAGATGATCATGCAGTCTATATAATAATATGAGAAAATATCCAAAATATTAGGTTATATGAAGAAAAAAGAGTACAGTGTTATAAATACTGCATAATTGTTTATGTAAAAATTATCTGTATAAACAAAAACAATGAGACCAGGCTGATATTAATGATTTTATGTTTACTTTTTTCCTTTTTAAAAAATGTAGAAAAGTAGAAAGGATAATGTATTTGGTGAAGGAAAAAAGATTTGGAAAAATAGGAAGCAAGAGAGTAATTAAGAAGCTAGTGAAGGCAAGAGAGAGTGTGTTCATATGCCCATATGTTCTGTGTAACAGTTATAACAGGGGTGTTTATATTGTCTGGGTATTCTTGCATTTATTATTTTTAAAAGATTCAAAATAGAATCCATTGGTGTTTATTTGATGTCCTTAGAATTTCTTCGAAGAGTCTTGGGTTACATCTTGGGACTTCTTTGAACTTATTTTAAGATAATAAAAGTACCAGTCAGCTTAAATTCCACCTGAATTCCTTGTTTACATTTCATCAGCATTAGAGAGAATATTGTTAATAATGAAGTAGTGAATGTCTTTTTCCTTCATATTTTTAAATGTCTGTTTCAGAAGTTCGTATAATGTTACTCTATGACTGTTAGTTTTATGTAACTAAGTCCGTTGCATAATATATTTTTAGATGTCTTAAAATTATAAGATATTTTGCAAAGTTAAAATAAAAATTAAAGGGAGATCCTCTTGTTTGTATGTTAGGAATCAAATAAGTTAAGTTCTTCATATGAAGTCCATGTGTTTCTGTTTTTTTAAAAATAACCATTATCCTTAAACAAACAAAAATCTTCTATTAACATCCAAGCAAGAGTGGCCATGAATATTTCCATTTGGTAACCAGTAAGTTCACCTAAATCACATTGAAGATCATTCAAGGAAAATAGTTTATAGGCATTATTATTATTATTTTTTTTTACCTTGTGATTTTAATTTTTCTATCTTTCAGTTTCTATTTGTTCCTTTTGTAAGCATAAGTGCTCTTTTGGAGGTTTAATCAGTCAACCAGTATTTATTGGAAATATTTTATGTGAAAGGCTCTGAGCAAGCTGGTATGAGATTACCCAAGTATTTTAAGATGAGGTTTCTGCCCTATCTGCTTAGAGAGGTAAGACCTGTTTACATCAGAACATGACTAATGATTCTAGGTGATAAGTGAGAAGTGATAGATCCTTCCAAAAAGTTTGTTTTACAGTTGACAAACATTTTGCAAAACTGCTCCAAGTGGTAACTGATTCATATTTCCATTAGTGGAATAATCCCATTGCTCCACATCCTAACAAAAGATTTAATGCTATGATTCCTTTTAACGCTTGCCAGTTGGATGGGTATAACATGGTATCATGCTATGGTTAAAATTTGGTTTTATTGGTTGCTAATGAGAATGACCATTGTTTTATATGTTCAAAGGGCTCTCTTGTGTCCTTTTCTGTGAGCTGCTCTTATGCTCTTTCCAATTTGCTTTAGTACTCTTTTCACCTTTTATTTCTAGAGAGTTCTAAAATTTTATCTAATGTAGAAAGAATGGAGACTAATCATTTTCAGTTATTTGCACAGCAGCTATTTTGTTCCACTGTATTATTTCACTTTTTTTCCCTTTGTGATGTGAAATATAATAAAAACAGAGAAGTACGTACACACAGACACACACACACACTTAAAAAAATGTTTCACATACCTTACAGATAAGTGTTTTATTCTTTTTCCCTTCCTGCCCTGTTTAATACACAAATGAAACTGCAGTTAGGATGTAAAGTGAGGTCCCAAGCTTTCTTCCTTTATTAAAAACATTTATTGAGTTCCTGTTACTGTCTGTGCCAAACACTTGGCTAAAGGCTTTAATCTTATCTCATTTAATCTTTACAGTAACTTTGTGAGGTGGGCATTTTCGTTCCCATTTGATAAAAGAGGAAAGTGGGATAGAGAGTTGAAGTAATGTGCTCAAGGCCACCCTAATCATTAATGTAGCCAGGATTCAAATAATCAGTCTGCTCAGGTCACTGGCTTTCTGTACTTTGTTGTGTTATCACTGGTGCGTCATAGTTCTGTTTGATAATAATAGAAAAAGCCACGTAAATGAAGAATGACACTACAGATTACAGTTATAAAAAGCAAAAGCCAAAAGGAGGAAGGGAAACACTAAATAGTATGAAATATTAAATGTTCTACATAGATTCTTAGTAGGTTGCTAGTGTAGCATTATGATACACATATGATATCGTGTATCATTCCATGGATCTGTTACATTTGAGAAAACTTTTAATCTTAAACATGAAAGTCTTGAATATGATAATTAATGACCTATTTATCTTATGTTTTAACGTTTGCAATGTTTAATGTATAATGGAATATTATGTTGTGTTACTATTATTAATAAAAGTAATTACTAATAATAGTGAATATTCAGATAGGATTACAGACCACTTAGGTTTGATATCCAAAGCATTAAAAAACTTAATTGTTAAAAGTATATTTATCAGATGTCTGCCATACCTAATTGAAGAGACAGTTGATTCAGACTCCTTAGTCTGTGACTTTTTGACAGATACTCTGCTGTACTTTTTCTATCAGTATTCTCATTAACTAAGCACAGAACTTTAGGTTGAAACCATAGTGTTTTGTTTTTCCAAGAATCTCCAGTAACTGTCACCTTTTTTGAAACGGAAATCTATTTGGGGCAAGCAGGCACAAAATCTATAGATGAACCAGATGCTGGTTCATCAGCCCAAAACTGCTGTGGTGTACTTCTGGTAGAGTAAAGCCCTGACCCCTCACAGGCACTGTGATTCTTCTTGTCTGATTCTTCTCGAACCTGTGGGAAATGAGTAACTGCTCCCCTGGTACCACTCCCCTGCTCTAATATAATATACTTTGCCAGTGAAGCCAACAGAACAATGGTGTTCATATGTAAGATCTACCCAGTCAATTAAATATTAAAATGCAGTTGTCTACAGCCAGGTGTTTTCAATTGTCCTCTACAGATTAATGGAAAAGTCATTTATATTTTGTCTTTGTTTTAGCGTTCTTACTTCCGTACTCTGCTCATGTATGGGTTCCACTTTCTGGTGTGGTTCCTTTGTGTCAAAGGGATCAGAGACACACAGTGTGGCTTCAAATTATTAACTCGAGAAGCAGCTTCACGGACGTTTTCATCTCTGCACATCGAACGATGGTAAGTTCCCAGCAGATGTCCTGGGCGTATCTTACACAGCAGTTGTTCCAGGCAACGAGAAACAGCCCTATATTCTCAGAGTGAACACTGAAGTTTAAACAAAATTGACACTTAATGTATGTAAAGTTAATCTGTACCTTTATTCTTTTACTGAGTTGGATCTAATTTTCAAAATCTCAAACCAAACATATGGTATAAAGTTAATTTTTTCACCTTATTTGTGGATGGTACAAATTGAAAAGCCTTAAAAACATCCTGTTTCTTTAGGCTTCCTTCTTTTCCTTTGAAGAAAAAAACAAAAAAGCTCAGAAATAGCAAAGTGAAAGAGGGTACCCGTTTTCTTTTTGTTCGTTCCTTTTCAGCAGTAAGTTCCCTCTCCGGCATATGACAAACCAGTCTTTGGACCTCTGCATCCCCTCTACCTTCTGTGGTTTGTTTGTTTGTTTTGTTTTTAAATTTTAACGTTTGTTCATTTTTGAGAGCAGAGAGAGACAGAGTGCAAGCAGGGGTGGGGCAGAGAGAGAGGGAGACACAGAATCTGAAGCAGGCTCCAGGCTCTGAGCTATCCACACAGAGCCCGATGAGGGACTCAAACTCACGAACTGTGAGATCATGACCTGAGCTGAAGTCAGACGCTTGCCTGACTGAGCCACCCAGGCACCCCCCGACCCCGCCTCCACCTTCTACCTTCTTAAAAACTTCATCCTGTTCGTTTATTTTGTCTTGTCTTTTCTCCTTAACCACATCTTTTACACAGGTTTTTAAAACAAGTTTAAATTTCCCTTGCCATTTAAAAATCAAAAAACAAAAAACAGCCTCTCTCTATTGATAGCCCCCCTCAGTACCTCTCCAGCTCCAGCCCTTTTTCCCTTCACAGCCAGCTTTTCTTGAAAGAGCACTCTATGTTCACTGTCCCTGTTTTCTCACTTCCCACTCATGCCTTACGCCACCTCAGTGTGGATTTTTCCCCCGCCCCTCCATCTAAGCATCTCGTTACCTCCTGTCATGAAACCCAGTGGTCATGTTTGATATGACCACTTACTGTCTTAATTAACCCATCAGCAGTGCTCCATACTTCTGAGCTCACTCTCCGGACATATCCCAGTCCCCTGGCCTGTCTTCATCCCAGACCTCTCCTCAGCTCTCTGCCGGTTTAGTGAGTAACACTGACACATGGAAGCTTAAAACCTTGCAGTCAGCTCTGACATTCCCACAGGTCCTCCACATGTCCAGTTCATGGCCCAGACCTGTTACTTTTGGCTTTTATGTCCCTTTGTTTCTCTTTGTCTTTCCCCCCACCATCCAAGACACCATCATGTCCTACACTGTAGCCCAAGGAGTCAGTCTTTTCAAAATTAGAAGTAATCAATCAAATGCACCTTTTTTGTTTAAAATCCTTCAGTAGCTTCCCAGTGCCTTCCCATGGCCTTGAGAGGTGCTGCATAATCTACCCACCCATGTCTCTACATAGGGACCCTTCCCTTTTCAACTTCTCCTTCAGCTCTTCCATAGGGCAACGAACTCTTACTCTCCAAATCAGATCACATGCCCCTAATCGTACGATGTTGCTGTACCATAAGCCCTTCTTCACAGCACCCATCACATCATTAGGTTTTTGTTTTTATTTGCATAATGTTTCTTTGTCTCTATTAAAACATAAGCTCCAAAAGGGCAAGAATCCCATCTGATTTTGTTTGCTAATAAATCCATCCCCCTATCTAATAGAGTGTCTGGCACATTATAGCTGCTCCTAAATATTGTTGAAAGAATTAATACTTAGTGTTACTCATGGGTTCTATATGAATTGTGTTCATGGTGGGAATCTACATAATTATTCCAGTATATTCCATTTTTGTAGTTTCTGTAACTTTTGTGCATCTATTTGCAAAGATATGTTATCTCCCTATAAATAGATATCATATAAACCCCCCATAACTTTAAAAAACTATAATTTCAGGATTAAAATTATCAAACATGGTTTTTAATATCTATCCTAAATTAAAAAAAAAATTTTTTTTTTAATGTTTATTTTTGAGAGAGTGAGCAAGCATGAGTGAGGGAGGGGCAGAGAAAGACAAAGACAGAATCTAAAGCAGGCTATCAGCACAGACAGAGCCCAACATGGGGCTTGAACGTAGGAGCCTTGAGATCATAACCTGAGCCAAAGTCAGACACTTAACAGACTGAGCCACCCAGGCACCCCTAAATTGTTTAAGTAATGTATATTTGATCTTCAGATTCAGATACATGTTTCTGTTATGTTGAAAAATAAAATATATTGATAGTTAATGGGCTCCAAAATCAGTGAATCTAATTTAAGAAGCCATTCTAGAAGTAAAGCCCTCCCTCTGGATATAGTTTTCAGTCAACTGTTGGGTTCAGAACTAGGGTCAAAAAGCTAGGTTCTTTGTAGTTTGAAAGGAAGTTGGGAACTAAGGGTTGAGGACGTTAGGGTTAGGGTTGATAATTAAGTTAGGGTTGATAACTTAAAAATCATGAAGTTTCTCTTGTCATAATTGTTCTGGCAATATAATGTCTGTTCTGTAATATATAATGTCCAATATATAATATAATGTGAGACATATTTGTAATTTTAAATATTCTAGTAGCCACACTAAAAAAGTAACAAGAAACAGATGAAATTTATTTTGTTAATGTTTATTTAGTTTTAAGAGAGAGCATAATCAGGGGAGGGGCAGAGTGGGGGCGGACAGAGGATCCAAAGCCGGACCCTTGCTGACAGCAGAGAGCCCAACGTGCGGCTGGAACTCATGAACCGTGACATCATGACCTATGACCTGAGCCTAAGTTGGATGCTTAACCAACTGAGCCACCCAGGAGCCCCAAAATGTATTTTAATAGTGTACTTTAACACTGTATACAAATGTCATCGTCTCGGCATGCACTCAGTATGAAAAAATATTCAGGTATTTTACACATTTTTCTGTGTACCATGTCTTCCAACTATAGTACATCTCACTTCAGACTAGCCACATTTCAAGTGCTCTTGTGGCTACTATATTGGACAGCATAATTCTAGAGTTTTATTTAAGTTAACATTTTAAACTTTTTTTCTCTTTTAAATTTTATGTTCATGTGCATGCCTTTTTAATTATTTATTTGGGCTTGATTAACATAGGATTGACCTCATTTAAAATTTTAGCCTCTCACATCTCTCTTTAGGGTCCACATATGTTTATTTTATGCCTGTAAAGGAGAACCACTAAATATACATGTATCAACTTGATTAACAATATGCCCGTCACCATATTAATGTTTCATCAGTGGCTTTTATTCAAGCATCTCTGTTCCTGCACTTAAAATCAAGAAAGACTAAAGTATTTCTTTCTTTTTTTCTTTTTTTTTTTTTTAATTTTTTTTTTCAACGTTTTTTATTTATTTTTGGGACAGAATGAGACAGAGCATGAACGGGGGAGGGGCAGAGAGAGAGGGAGACACAGAATCGGAAACAGGCTCCAGGCTCTGAGCCATCAGCCCAGAGCCCGACGCGGGGCTCGAACTCACGGACCGCGAGATCGTGACCTGGCTGAAGTCGGACGCTTAACCGACTGCGCCACCCAGGCGCCCCTAAAGTATTTCTTTCTTATGCAGCACAAGTTATAGAAACCAGGTTGTGCATCTACTCTTTATGTCCAATGTAAGTGTCCCCTCAGACTGATATTTTAAGGACTTATTCTAAAATTTCATTGCAGTTTTCCTCATAACTTTCAGGAAATTGAAGTCAAATAGAGTTTCTAGGTATTAGAATACATCAAGCTATAGTTAAAAACCAATAGGCAGGCATCTCTGATTCAGAATTACAGACCTAGTATGGGTTATGCTAAATAGTAAAGATATACATAATGTTAAAATAAATGTATGTTTATGTATGTTAATATTTATATAATTTTAACATTATTTTTAAACATAAAATTTTAAGCATAATATTTAACATCACATAAATATATTTAATTTTATATATCTATACACATATATATATATGTGTGTATAGATATATAAAATCTCCATCCTCAGAACTGTTATCTCACCTAAATTATTTCCATTTAATATTAAGGTATAATTTGACTCTTTTTATGAGTAATTAAAAAAAAATTTTTTTAATGTTTGTTTTTGAGACAGAGACAGAGTATGAGCAGGGGAGGGGCAGAGAGAGAGGGAGACACAGAATTCAAAGCAGGCTCCAGGCTCTGAGCTGTCAGCACAGAGTCCAACGCAGGGCTCGAACTCACAAACTGTGAGATCATGACCTGAGCTGAAGTCGGATGTTTAACCAACTAAGCCACCCAGCCCCAGTTTATGAGTAATTTAAAAAATGGAGTCCTTGAAATGTACTTTCTTCCCATGAATATTTTTTTAAATCAATGTTATATACGTGGTTATAATTTAAAGTCACTTCCATAAGGCTTCTAAAAAATCATTGTCCTTTGCTCCCTGTGCCTCAACCCAATTCCTACTCCCTGGCTATGGCCACTTTCAGCTATGTGCTGTTCCTTTGTGGTAATTACTTTCATATTCAAAATAATGGGTTTGCATAGCCATGTCTCCGTTTTTTCAGTTTTAGATATTACTCCAAAATAAATCAATGGAGAAGTATAGTTTTCTTAAACCCCTGCATACCTTTCACACGTATCCTCCTAATACAGTTTCTAAATACAGATCACTACTGATGGGTACAGGTATGTAAAGATAATTCACATTCAAGCCATAGTGTACAATCTGATTATTTTACCTTTCTTGTAGTACTTTTTGTTTTCCTGAAGATAATAAATTTCTGGAGTTTTCTGTCGCACTACTTGACGATGGACCTGTCACTTACTTACGTTCACACTCCGTGAGTAGAAAGTACCTCTCCGTGTGTTCCAGTGCATCCGTGTGTTCCAGACTGTGCATCAGTTTCACTTTTTTCTTGGAGACGTCTCATCGGCTCTCACCTTTCTAGCTGTTCTCGGGCTTGCTGCACAGCTCCTGTTTTTTTCCTGGGTTTATATCCCTATTGTAGTAGAGCACATCCTCTGTGAATCTTCCTAAAGAAATGACAACAAAATCTTGAGACTTCGTTGGCAATGCACTGCATTATTCTCCTTTCACATTTGCCTCATAGCGAGCCGGAGACAGAGATCTAGGTTGGAAATCATTTTTCCTCGGGATTTTGAGAACATTGCTCTGTTGCCTTTGGCACTCGGTGTTTCTGGAGAGAAGTCCAATTCTGTCAGTAATCTGAATCTTGATTCTTTGTCTATGGCACGTTGTTTCCATCCCCTTTTGGAAGCTTTTACCCCACAGTGTTTTGAAATACCATGATTCAGGGACTTAATGTGGCTTTTTCATGCATCTTGTTGTGTATGCAGTAGGCACTCTAAATCTGGAAGCCTGGGTCCTTCACTGCTGACAAATGTCCTTTAGTCATTAAATAATTTCTCTAGTTTTGCCTTCTCTCCTGTAAACAAATGTGAGCCTTCTATGCTGATCCTGTAATTTTCTCTTCTCTTTTCTGTTTCATGTCTTTTGAGATTTTCCTCAATTTTATCATCTAGTGCTCCTTTTAAATTTGTGTTTCTGCTATCAAAAATGTTAACTTCCTACAACTCTTGTTTTCTAGTATTCATTTTTTTTACCCTATTCGTTTCATGAGTACAGTACCTTCCACTACTTAATGTCTCATTTAAAACTGTGACATTTTCTTCTTTCTCTCCATTGTTTCTGTTGTCCCAATTTTGTTTTTATCATTAAAGTCTGGCCTCACACGTATTTACTGTGGTACTACAAAGCTCATCGGAAGCTGTGTACATGGTCAGAGAACTCTGATCAACTCACCACGGATTAAATAGTGGGCCGCTTTATGTGGGAAACTTTCAACTGTCCTTATCTTTTGGGCTGGTTGTTTTCACTAAAGTGGGATTTCCTGATTTCCTGTCTGGTGGAAATGAGCCTGGCTGCCAGCATTCACACAACGAACTTGAGGAAAGGAGAATCCCCTTGAGCTTTTCCGTGAGTCCTCCCTTTTGAAGCCCCACCTGCACCACCTGCAGACCTCATCTGCAGTGAGGCCAGGGATGCCTGAGCCTTTGGAGAGCTCTGCGGGACCCATAGCCTGCTTCTAGGCTTCTCCCTTCTCACAGTCTACTTCTCCTAGTTCCCAGTTGTCCAGCTACTTTCCAAGTTTCAGATTTTTTTTATTACTTTCATCCTTTCTTTGTTCTTACGTGTTTATTCCATCATTGTTGTTTTAATTTTAGTGGGACTTCAGGAGGGAGCAGTAGAGGACATGTGTGCCTGGTGTGTTTAAAAGAGTATCAACACGCCCTTTGCTCTTCAGGAATAGATCTGTGAGGTCACAGCTATACGAGGAACTGAGTAACAAAAGAAAACAGTGGCTCTGCCCTCCCCGCATTTGTGAAAACACGTGAAGGCATCAGAGATAGAGAGTGACCCTTACACTGCTTATGTGCCATAGCATGAGGTTCTATCCAGAAGTACTTGGTATTTCAGTTATGTTTGCTCTGGTGACAGATTGGTCTCTTATGGTGATGTGAACTGGAAATTTCTTTTTAAGCAAACATCTTCATGTCTTTTAAAATGTTAAAAGAGGATACTAGTAAAAGTAATAGAAGATGAATAGTGCTTACAGGGTTTTTTTGTAAATATAAAGTAATTTCAGTTAATCCGTGCTTCTTTTTCCCCACTCCTTTCCACTCATCATTCTTATGTTGTTTTGCGTCTTTGATAAGTCATCATATGCTGATATCCTTAGAACAGTATTTAATAATCGTGTTCAAATTATTGCATATCATTAGAACCAACTCAACCTTTTGGGTATTTTTTGGTTTTGTGTTAAAGGGGAGGGTTAAGGGTTAACCAGGTTTAATATTCATAAAATTTCCTCCTTTCGTGAGTGTCCCATGCTAGTTAACAGAAGTTTTACACAGTCCTTTTAACAACACAAAGAACGCCTTTGTAGATGGTTTTATCATCTTAAGTAAATATTTTATTAGGATAAGAAAAAGCATTACATGTTTTTTTGTTTTTTTTTTTTTTAAACGTTTTCATATTCACTTATCCAAACACTTGGGATTTAAACAAGTCACACAGTGGACAGTCACAGTTTTGTGGCCAAGAAGACAGAACTCCCAAATTCAAGTTGTCTGAAATCAGGGAAATCAAGCAGAAGTGGGTTTTAGGTATTTTCGTGTTTGTGCTAATATTTTAAAACCAACCCCCTGGAAGTCCGAAGTGTGTTCCATGCAGTCCAGAAAGCGGGGGCTTAATGGCTCAAGAGGAAAGCAAAGCTGTGAAGGACTCGAGCGCTTTCAGTTACCAGAGCGTGAAGAAGGTTTAGCAGGTGATGGTGCTGCTCTCCCCGAGCTCACTGCCAGTGAGAGGAGGAAACTGGCTTCAAGAATTTTGTAAGCAGAATCCAGGAAAATTTCGAAGTCAAGATGCAGAACTAGGGAAAGCAGATTTGACCTAAACCACTGAAGAGGAGCTTCTGGAGCCTTTCATAGGGAGAAGGAAGGATGAACTGGGAATTCAGACTGGAGATGATTTTAACAGGGTTAAGTGAAAATGAGACAATATATCGAATTCCCGTGTATATATTTAGTTATACCCAAAGAGCATTTCAGACTAAAGTGGCTTTTTACTTTCAACAGCTGGCAGTACTATATTGCCCAGGACGTATGAGGAAGGGCAAAGGAGAAAACAAGGACCTAGTGAACCATGTATTTAAAAAAGAAACCTTAGGGCGCCTGGGTGGCTCAGTCAGTGAAGTGTCCAACTTGGGCTCAGGTCATGATCTCATGGTTCGTGGGTTTGAGCCTCACACTGGGCTCTGTGCTGACAGCCCAGAGCCTGGAGCCTGCTTTGGATCCGGTCTTCCTCTCTGTCTGCCCCTCCCCACTTATGCTCTGTCTCTCTCTCTCTCTCAAAAATAAACAAACTTGAAAAAAAAAAAAAAAAGAAAGAAAAGAAAAGAAACCGTGATCCTCAGGTGGTAGATAAATGAAATCAAACAACTCTCAAGTGATGGACATTTTCTCTAAGAGCTGCTCAGAGTTCTGTTTTATCAACTCTCTGAATCAGTTGAAAATGCTATGAGTTCTGTACCTTGAGGTAGTGAAGCCTGGGATTGAAAGCAATCGATTTTGAAAAATTTCCATGATTAAATTTTCTCAGAGCCCAAGCGGCCTTTTTTACCTCTGGGGGTTTCTGACTTGTGATGGAGACACCATATTTCTCATTTAAATGTTATGCAATGACACACTAAATTATTGACCTGAAGCTCCTGAACTACTTAACCTTTTGTTTGACCTTCTGTGAACTTTCAGTTTTACTATATAAGCTCTATATCTGCCTTTTAAGCTTCTTTAAAACATGCCAGAGTAGAGATTTAATTACACTCTATCTCTCTTTTTAAAAATAAAAATCAATATATTTTCTGTTTCAGGGCATTTGATGTAGAACTGCTTTACATAGCACAGTTCTTTAAAATTCCAATAGCAGAAATTGCTGTCAACTGGACTGAAATTGAAGGTGAGTACATTGTTGATGTTACGGCTGATCCTAGGTGGGGGTGGGGAGATAGGAGACAATACAGTAGTCCAGTAAACTTAACTGGCTGCCCCCTTCAAGACCTCCTCAGCTGGCTTGACTCAGACATGGTTGTGTAGAGTTCTGGCTACTAATCCCCTCCACCCTCCAGACGGCACACAACCTTCTCTATCCTTGCAGTCTCCTCCTGGGGGCTTCAATAGGCCTACTACCCTACCCCACTGTAGAATTCAGTAAAACTTCTACAGCAGACAAGATCATGGTAATCTGAGGTTAGAAGAAAGTTGGTAAGTCTTTTAAGATAAATTTTGTTTGTGTCATCTTTTTTTTAATATTGTCTTACTTCATTACTCAGTAGGTATTGATTACCTACAAGCCACCATGCAGAGCTTAATAAGGAACTATAGTTGTTTTTACCGCAAATGTCCACATCCATTCAGAGCCAGTCTTTAACTGGTATCTGTACATATATCCAAAAATGTGAAAATCTCTAAGATCTCAAATAATGTGAAATCTATCAGAAATCTTAATAATTCCTGTTTGAAAAAGCTTTGAAAGCTTATATTGTAGAACGTAAAAAATATTCTAGTTTTCTCCTTTGCTTACCTTACAATGCCCCTAAGTTAATTCACAGTGTGGGCGCACTTACCTTTCAAGTGGAGATTTTTCAACTGAGTCCTTCCTCCTCTGCTGAGCATGGCCTCCTCTCAGAAAGTCACTGTTGCAGTATACCATGACTGTTACGTAACCGTGGATGTTTAGGGACAGGAAAAGGTTAAGAAGCAGTCTGGGGATCATACAAACTATACAGTACAGAACAAATGCAAACGTCTTGGAGTCTTGCTGAATCAAACTTAGCTTACAAAAATTTTAGTACTCTCTGCAGTAGCTACCTAGATCAAAGGGGATTGAGAAGCTGGTAAAAGATTGCTCAGATTTGTAAGATCTGTTGTGTGGATCTGTGTTGATTTATGCCCAGCATAGACTCTGTAGGAAGTTGAAGTGGGGAAAAGTAAAAATGGGTTTCATATTTATATCATTTGTTCATTTGCATTTCAGAGATAGTTGTGTATTATTTTTCCTTAACCGGCCGTTAATGAGCCGCGGTTTTGTATCAGTCATTCCCAGAATCGTCGGCCATATATACTCAGTGCCTCCTCCCTATAATAGGGCCATCCAAAATTTCCACAATTTAGATCCTTCCCAGTTTCATTTCACTTCCAAGATGTTTTGTTTTTGTTGTTATTAGAGAAACCACTCACTTCAGCTTTGAAGATGTTTCTTTTGTAAATGATACAAATAAAATTAAGGTGGATATGTTAATTAACTGTGTTAATTAACTTAATTGTGGTAATCATTTCACAGTATGTGTATGTAAGTGTATGTGTGTTTATATATGTATATATATCAAACCCTTACATTCAACACTTTAAATATATTTCAATTTTGCCAACTCTACCTCAAAATTTGGGGGAAAAAAGAAAGAAAAACAGGAAGAAGCCAGAGTATTTGGGCTTAAATGTGGAAAATTGTCACCAATCAGTCTGTGACAGTTTACCACCTCGCACTCGTTACCTGACCTGCAATCTATTTTTGACTTACTGAAAAAACAGTTCTATGGGATAAAATCAAGGAATACAAGCTTTTAAAACATGCTCCAGGAGGCAGATTTCCTGTAGTCAACTAGGGTTGGCATACTGCCTCTTGGCAACCACTGGACAAGAAGATGTCGTAGCTAAGATAGTATTTATCTTAGCTAACTGAAGAGTCTTTGGTAGAATTAGAATAAAAAGTGAGTTTTTGTCTTATATTTCTTCTCCCAGATTATTAATCTATATTACATGTGGAGATGTACCTGTTTCTCTATAGTACATGAGACTGAAAAGTAGCATGTAAAACAAAACAAAAAAAAAATGCACCCCAAAAAACATTTTTAAATGTATAGATGGAATTAAATATATACACATATACATAATTACATGCATACATACCTAATATAAAAAATAAGGTGACTAGAAGCTCACAAAGGTCATGTAGACTGACTTCTAAAATATAATTTCACACTGATATATTTTCTCCAGAGTTTATTTAAGTTAATTCATTTTTAATTATTTTTAAATCACAGGTTCTAAATTAGTTCCATTTTGGAGCTGGCTACAAATGGGCAAGGACCTACTTTTTATACGACTTCGATATTTGACTGGTGCCTGGAGGCTTGAGCAAACCAGGAAGATGAATTAGGTTACTGGCCGTCTTTGTATTCTTATGTATCAGTGTCACGTTATTTCACCGGAAATTAAAATTTTAAATAAACCTGGAATAAACCCATGCCCTTGCCTGCCTTTTGATAATTTTTAAAGAAGTAACCGCCATAACTAAAAATGTTTATACCTCTTTTGAACCCCAAAAAAAAAAAATTAAGGTGTTCGTAACAAAGTCAGATTTTCCTTTGCTTCAGCAGCTTTGTTTATTGATTCTTATTATCATTATGATTCTGAGAAATATAACTTTTAAACAGAAGAGAGAAGCAGTTATTCTACCTGCATAATTCTCATGAATTTAAATATAAACCATAATCATATGCCTGTGCTCAGAGATTTAAAAATAAAATTGGCATATGTTTAAATATATGCAAACTTGTTAGTATTAAGCCCATATTCCAACTTATAAAACACTATGAAATTGTATGTTAAAGAAAGGATATAGGGCACCTGGGTGGTTCAGGCTGTTAAGCATCCTGAATCTTCACTTTGGCTCAGGTCATGATCTTACAGTTCATGAGTTCGAGCTCCACATTAGGCTCCACGCTGACAGTGTGGAGCCTGCTTGGCATTCTCTCTCTCTCTCTCTCTCTCTCTCTCTCTCTCACTCTCAAAATAAATAAACTTCAAAAAAAATTTAAAGGAAGGATATAGGCTCTCTCACCAAGGCATCTACTTCCTTATATGGTCTTTACATCTCTCTTCCCCAATTTTACTTACACATATTGCACTTATTTTCTTACTTCCTGGCAACACCTTGCTCTTGAGTTCATGTTACTAGAAATTGAAAATTCTTTATAAAAAAGAGAAACTTTTGGGGGCACCTGGCTGGCTCAGTTGGTAAAGCATGCAACTCTTGATCTCAGGGTCATGAGTTCAAGCCCCATGTTGGGTGTAGAGATTATTTAAAAAAAAAAAAAAAGTTTTCTAACATTGATAAATGCATATACTTAACATCAGAAGCCTATGTTTTTGAGATACTATCAAGACTAATGAATAGCAATTATAAAATAATTTACCCCTAAAACTCAGAATTAGATTATTTCTGATGTTTTAGAGAAACAATATCTAACATTTATTGAGTGGTTACTGTATGCCTGCCACTGTTCTAAGCATCTGGTGTATATCATGATTCACTTAACTTTTACAATGGAAGAGGAAACAGGTATAAAGTAGTTACTCACTCAAGGTCGCACAGCTAGGAACTAGTGGAGCTGTGATTCTAGCCCATGTAGTCTGGGTCCAAAGCCTACACTCTAATGGCTATCCTACTTCAGTTTCTGAAGGTATGAAAATTGGAGATACCTAAATAGAAACTTTCAGAAGTACACTATAACATTTTAAAGACAAAACTTAAGTGGAAAAGTTTAAAATAAGCTAAAAAATGACTCCTCTCCAGTAGTTTCAGCAACAGTGATATTATCACATCTGCAGTAGACAATAAGCCCCTTGAAAACAGAAACCATTTCTTACTCAAATTAGTATGCCAGCACAGTACTTAGTATATAGTAGACACTTAATGCTGATTACGTGAATAAACAAACTTCATTTACCACCAGATTTTAAGAGCATTTAAGTCACTTAAGAGAACAAAGCAAGGCTTATGCAAGTAGAAATGATAGAAAGCCAATTGTAGAAGAATGACTGGGCATTTACGAAGAGTGTAAAAGTACAAACCTGAACCAAAAATAAGATCCTTAGTGAAACTAAATAAAAATAAAATAATTTACAGGCATAGCTCATTTTATTGCACTTCACAGATACTTCATTGTTTTTACAAATGAAAGGTTTGGTCACCCTGTGCCAAGCAAGTCCTGGTGCCATTTTCTTCAGCATTTGCTCAGTCCATGTCTCTGTGTCACATTTTGGTAATTCTCACAATATTTCAAAATGTTTCATTATTGTCTTTGTTATCGTAATCAGTGATTATGACTCACTGAAAACTCAGATGATGGTTAGCACTTCTTAGCAATGAGGTAATTTTGGATTAAAGTATGTACCCTTTTTAAATAGAATGCTATTACCCTCTTTAACAGACTACAGAATAGTGTAAACATAACTATTATATGCAGTGGGAAACTAAACTCATTTGACTGATTTTACTGCATTTGCTTTATTGTAGTGGTCTGCAACCAAACCTGCAATATGCTCTTTGCAAGCTAGTGATAAAAATGCATATTTAAAGAATAATAGGATTTTGAGGGGAAGTATCAATACTTTTATGTAGTTCATCCAGGAACACTATTTAGAAAGGTTTCTGATCTTGATGCCAATTTACCCATCTAAGCCCAGATTCACCTAGGTTAACAGCATAGTATAGAATCTGAAGCACTCTGTAAGAGAAAACAGTTTGACTTGTTGACATTTCAGAACCTGCTCAAAAAAAAAATAACAAGCAGCCATAGCAAAAGTGAAACTATCGGCTATTATTTTCCCTATATATAAGAAAGTGTGAGGGGCGCCTGGGTGGCGCAGTCGGTTAAGCGTCCGACTTCAGCCAGGTCACGATCTCGCGGTCCGTGAGTTCGAGCCCCGCGTCGGGCTCTGGGCTGATGGCTCAGAGCCTGGAGCCTGTTTCCGATTCTGTGTCTCCCTCTCTCTCTGCCCCTCCCCCGTTCATGCTCTGTCTCTCTCTGTCCCAAAAATAAATAAAAAACGTTGAAAAAAAATTAAAAAAAAAAAAAGTGTGATAAAAATGTTACATGCAGTAGTTTCTCTGATCAAGTAACTCTATCAATAGGAATAATTACATTTCAGAAATAAGTAGGATTAGGCAAGGGATAGGGTGCTTGGGTGGCTCGGTCAGTTGAGCGTCCAACTTTGGCTCAGGTCACGATCTCACAGTTCCTGAGTTCAAGCCCTGCGTCGGGCTCCGTGCTGACAGCTCAGAGCCTGGAGCCTGCTTCAGATTCTGTGTCTCCCTTTCTCTGTACCATCCCCCCTATCCTGCTCATGCTTTGTCTCTCTGTCACTCTCAAAAATAAACATTAAAAAAAACTAAAAGAAAAAAATAAGTAGGATTAGGCAAGGGATTTGTCCATGGTCCCACAGGTAGCCAGGAGTTGTGCTTCTACTGAATAAAAAATAGGAAACATAAAGGATGGTGAGGTAGGATTAAAACTGAGAGGATAAGTTTATTACATGCAGATAACCTGACCATTCACTTTGTACCTTCTGACTTGTTATTACATAATATTTACATATGTAGTTTCACTTGAGATTGTATCAGGACAACAGTGTGTTTCTTGACACCCGTAATTCAATGTCTACAATCTTGTGTCTTTCCACCATTCGTGGTTGATTCTCAGTTCTATTTTCCATTTTCTTTATTCAATTACGATTTCCTTACGAGCAGAACCTTGCCTTTTATTTTATTTGTGTGTCTCCACAGCATCCTAAATTGTGGTTTTTCCATAAAGGTTTGTGAAATGGTTAGATAATGCCACCATTTCAATTCATTTGTCAAAAAAAAAAAAAAATTACAGGAATGAGTTTCTCCATTTTATTAATAGCTAAATCCCCTGAAGTAATAGTCTAGTAGGCTGTTTTGTTTTTGCAGAATCTCAAAATCCATCAAATCTACAAATTAATGATTTCATTATATTAATCCAATAAAGGGCTCTATGAAGTAATACATTTGTAATTCACTGTTTTTGAATAAAACTCCAGGTAGTATTTTGATGGTCACAAAAAAAGAAGTATCTTTACAGATTTCATCCAATCCAGGTGGTCTTTTTGTACGCTATATATATACATGTGTGTGTATATATACATATACATATATATATATTACATATGTTATATATGTATGTGTATATAAAACACACATATATATATATATGTATATATAACATACACATATTTTTTGAAACTCATCCCAGGATCCCTTGATACAGTGATAGAGTGCTCTAGATATACAAGCAAAACAGATCCTATCCTGACATTTTGAAGACTTTGCATTTTAAGGGCACGATGCCTGCAAATCTTACCTGCAGCACCACATACCTGGAAGCATTCAGCCTGTCTTCAACTTATAAACCAAAGCCAGCTTACAAATCAGTTGTTTGGAACCTATAAGGTGTTTCCCATGAAAAATAATACTAAAAAATATGGTTAAGTCCTTATAGCAGTCTGAAAGATGTATAGCAAGCCTATAACACACCTGAACTACTCTGTACCGGTCTGCAGTAATACCTAACCATGCTTTGCAATGTGGAGAAATCGTTTTCCATTTTCCAAGTGGGAATGCCATGGAACTATCTCTACCCACAGCCTCTAGGAATCCCAATGAAAAGGTAGGCACAAAGGCGCGTCGGTGGTTCAGTCAGTTAAGCGTCCGACTTCAGCTCAGGTCATGATGTCGCGGTCTGTGAGTTCAAGCCCCGAGTCGGGCTCCGTGCTGACAGCTCGGAGCCTGGAGCCTGCTTCAGATTCTGTGTCTCCCCTCTCTGCCCCTCCCCCATTCACGCTCTGTCTCTCTCTGCCTTTCAAAAATGAATAAATGCTAAAAAAAAAAAAAAGGTAGGCACATGAGCAGTGGGTCTAAACCTCACTGCAGCCGCAGTGGAGGCTATGGGCAACTTCCCCCACCTAGGAGGGTCTGATGGGGTAGGGCAAGGGCTCCAATGGTAATCAGCGGAAACCTGCTTCTAGTACTACATCAAAAGGTAGTCCTACAGGAAGGACTGAAGGCAGAGAAGGGACCAAGAGTGACAGCAGTGATCCTTAGCTGAGATGTATCACAATGCACCTCAGAAATAGTCCCGGGAAATGAAGATATGTATACTACCTCTCTGACCTATGAATGTCTACATTAATAATACGTGTGTGTGTGTGTGTGTGTGTGTGTGTGTGTGTGTGTGTGTGATGAAGGTAAAGGGTAAGTGACTGTCAGTGCAACTCATTCCACTACGAGAGTAGGGACAGTAAAACCTGGGCCCCAAGAGCCATAGTGCTGACAAACATGCCGGAACCAACCAGAGTATGAATTTAAATTTGAATCCTCCAAAATAAAATTGAAGAGCAAGTACAAGTCCT